TAACTGGACGGGTCGGATTTGTTTTTACCGGGCTTGAGGATGCCAATGACCACAGCTTCTTTCCAGCTGTCTGGAAATATGGCGTTGGACAGCGCCGCGTTAAAAATAGCGACGAGTAATACTAAAAGTTGGGATGGCAGACTTTTGACTAACCTATTGGATATGCCGTCTGAGCTGGGTGATTTTGATAGGTAGTTGTTTAACTAGCGTTTTGACCTCATCAAGCGTGACTGGTGAGAGAGTTTCGGTGGGCGGGGTGGACGCGATGCGTTCGACTTCGGTGTCTATCTTCCCGAGATGACCTGCCTCGACTGGGAGCGTGCTGGGGGAGCATTGGGCTTCTAAGTTGGACGCTAGACACTCAGCCTTATCTTCGTCGAAGAAGGCTATAGTGTTGTCGGGTCGGACTAGCGGGGGCAGGTCGTTTGTCTGTTGGTCGGTTTTGAGAGATTTCGCTATGCGCCAGTACGCGGTGTGGCATGGCGTTATCTCTTCTAGGAGCTTGCCCCACCGGCCGTCCCGGATCTGCGCGATGCGCTCCTTAACGCTACGCTGTAAGGCTCGCAGGCGCACCCGGTTCGGTTCGGAGGGGTAGCGATCGTACGCTCTAGTGGCTGCGTTCTTATCGCTTATTAACCTCCTTACGTCATCGGGGAGCTTCCAGCGACGGTCGTCCGTCGCCGGTACCTCCCTGGAGCAGTCCTTGACTGCCGACTGCAGGTGGTTAGTAAGCGAGTCGATCGCAATGACAGTGTCCTCGGTGGACTCTATGACGTCGGGAATACGGTTTAGTATCGGTGTGTCGGTCGATTCGAGAGATTTCTCGAGTCGTTGCCAGTCTGTTATTGTTTTGGTGATTTTGTACTTATTTTATTTATATCCATTTTGCCTCGTCGCCACATATAGTGTTCACTTATATGTCTTCTTGTATGTAAGTTGTTATCGACGTAATATCGGCTCGTTAGCCATAGCTCCACGTCTTTACTCCGCGGCGCTTGCGCAGGGACGTCGGTTCCCTCTTGCGCTCGGCTCGAGACGATAGATAATAAACTGCTAGTGTTTCCACATACACTACAGCTACTATGACCGAATAAGAAACAATCCTTACGCAGGGCAGTTCAATAGCAGGCCTTAAGAGGCCTTTCACATTTTTTGGCATAAAAGCGGGGTCTTTGTGGTTCTGGTTCTAAGAAATTAAGAGTCGGATATACATTTCTGATTTCTGAATTATATAGATAGATATCTAATCTTAAAAACAGCATCTTTGTTGTTGTGTAATTTTCCTGCAATTATTGTCATTTTTCGCGGCACTACACCTTCAACATACCACAACACACCTACACTATAAATGTATATATACGTCCCTATAAAGTCTTAATGTTGGGGATATGAAAAAATCCTGCCCTCTGGCGGACGCAGCGCGCAACACTAGTGACACATTCGATCGCGGGAACGAACAGCGGTTACGGCGGTCATATTAGAAACTTGGTGCAAATTGGCGGATTTTTGGTGTATTTGGGGTGAGTATAGGGACAATTTTATATTTTATTTATTATTTCGTGTACAAAAAAAGTGATTAGATAATAGGCATCGGCAGAGGTATATTTGTAAACGCCCTGAACCAGCGACTTTAACGCGGGGTGAAGAAAAGGTGACGAAATTATTACCACCGAATACCACTAATATATATAAAATTAACATTGGTCACTTCGAGACGGATCGGAGTTTATCCTTTGTCGTTGTTTATTTCTAATCATTTACAGAAAAACACAAAATCGCGGATACACATATTTGAGGTTATTCCTACCTACGTAATAAAATTATCATAATTTAAAAACTATTTGCACACCATACACATAATTTGCGGTAATATTTATGTTTCAGTGTTAGGCATTGGTATATATATGTTTTGGTTCCCTCCCATATAATTATACTTTCACAATTTCATTACTTTTACATGACAAATACTTCACCTCACCGGCATATTTGATATTTTGTTATTTAATTGCGATTAAATTATTGTCTCCTGGATATTAGGGTTATATTGTTATTAGTCTTGTGTTATGTGTTTTATTTTAAATCCAAAGTAAATAAAGACGGTCTTATTTACTTTTGGTAATAAATTTTTTAAATGGTAGTAGATATAGTATTCTAATTTCATTACTTTAACTATACATTAATTTGCCTTGCTTTCAATAGTTCGACTTCGTATTATTAAGTTGGTACTTCAAATCCCAACAACGGTTTTGTTTTTTTTTGTTTTGTTTTGTTTTGTTTTGTTTTGTTTTTTTTGTTTTGTTTTGTTTTGTTTTTTTTTTTTTTTTTTTTTTTTTTTTTTTTTTTATTATTTTCATAATTTTTGCAAACAGTGTAACAAAGCTAATTTGTAATTAGGTGTCTTTAGAAATAGTTTACATTAATAACTATTTTGTGGTTTATTGTCGATTAATGAGCGTTAGATATTTGCGATAGTTTTTAATACTTGAATCGGAAAATTAAGTATTATTCCTGTAGTAGTTTAGGCATAACTTACTTTGTTTTTTATGTAATTGTTGTTACTGAATATACTTGTTTAGTATAAGTTATAGTGCCAGTTGAAGGTATTTGTATAAGTATAATTTGTGTTATTTTTTAAATATTTATAAGTAAATTAAACTTGAGTTTATTATATATTAAGTACTTTTACAAAATTGATAGTTCGCGTTTGCTTACGTTTTATTTGAATTGGGGTTTTGTTTTTCTTACGTTTGCTTGTTTTGTCACTTACTATCGAAAATGACAACGGCGGTTAAGAAAATTCAATTTAGGTACGATAAAGCCACTCACAATATTGATTACATTTATGATCTCGTGCGGACAGATTCGTTAACATTGGAACAAAAGACTGAGTTTCAAGTTAGGTATGCGGACTTAGAAAATAATTATTAAGAATTTGATTCTATGCATTCGGAGATGCAACTCAAGGCGGATGAATCGGAGTTAGAGAAACTTAAGACGGTCTTTGAGACATATAATAAGAAGTATTATTTTATAAAGCGGCGATATATTGAGTTATCTCTTGAAACTAAAGCGGATTACTGTGGTGACAATATAAAGACCGACACTAATCTCAAGTCTAAAGTGATTTTACCTAGGTTATCGCTGCCCTCATTTTCAGGGAAATTACAGGAATTTAATTCCTTCATGGAACTTTTTCAATCATTGATTGATCATGATGTAAGATTAACTAATACTGTAAAATTGTATTATTTATCTAGTTCTTTAGTAGGAGAACCAAAAACATTAATTCAGCATTTATCTATTGTCGGTGATAATTACTCCATTGCATTAGAATTACTTAAGGCACGTTATAATAATAAACGTTTGTTAGCGGATAAATTATTACACAATTTATTAAGTGCGGTACCCGTCACATATAAAAATTTGAGTGGACTAAAATTGTTTGTGAATACTTTGCTCGAAAATACGAAGGCTTTAGAAAAGATGAACTTTCCAGTAGATTCGTGGTCTTATATATTATTTTACATAAATTTTCAAAAATTAGGTAGTAACTTAAAAAGGGATTTTGAAAATAAGTTTGATGAAAAGGAACTACCTGCCTTTGAAGATTTATTGAAATTTTTAGAAGGTGAGATTCGTAAATTGGAATCTAGTGCGGATCCTGATTCCAGTGCTCATATGCGGCGTAGAACGTCAGCTCCAGCGGTACGGGCTGTACATTCGGTAGTTCACAATGAAGTTAGCTCGGTATGTAAATACTGCGGAAAGAGCGGTCACTTCATCGCTAAGTGCGAGAAGTTTTTGAGTTTAAAGCCTACCATCCGAAAGCGACACATAATATCCACTAACTTATGCTTTCGATGCCTTAATAGTCATAACATTGCTAATTGCCAATATAATCGAAATTGTTATAAATGCAATTCACCTAAACATCATTCCTTATTACATTTTGACATACCTGCGGGGTCACGGGAACGTCAACCCCGTTTATCTATTAATAATGTCCCAAGCAAGACGGATGCTACGGAACATCCGCCTCAGGAGACGGCTCCTACAGCTAGGGTTTCATCGGCAAGTACAGGCAGCAATGAGGTGTTTGGAGGAATGGCATCACAGGCCACTGGTACTTATCAACGGATGGTATTACTGTCAACGGCTATCATACGAGTACTGGATAAACACGGTTATTACCAGGAGGCACGTGCATTACTAGATGGCGGCAGTCAGGGTACCTTTATTTCGGAACATTGTGCCAACAGACTGGGCTTAAAGCGGTTGAGGTCTAATGTTATATCAGTCACGGGACTGAGTGGTATTCCTGTAACTGGCTGCCAGAGAGTAGTTAATTTAAATATAATGCCTAGGTACACAGATCTACCTGTTCTTTACACTGCAGCTACAGTGATAAATAAGATCACGCGAAATTTGCCAGGTTTTTCCTTATCTCCTCATTTAGCGGAAAGTTATAGAGGTATACTTCTTGCTGATGAACAATTTTATATCAGTCGGGAAATTGATATTTTAATTGGTGCGGATCTTATTGCAGATATTTATTTGGGGGATGGTACTATAAAGATACATGATAATTTACCTCGTGCCATGAATACGGTGTTCGGGCATGTGTTGACTGGGCCTGTTATTTGTCCGGTTGCGGAACCAGCTTCTCAGGAGACTCATTTTTTGCAAACTTTTTGCTGTAATATTTCAACCGATAGCATTTTGGAGCGATTTTGGGAGGTGGAAGATATTCCTAGCGCAGTGGAAGATCCTAAGGATATGGAATGCGAGTCTATGTTTGTTGCTACTCATCAGCGGGACGAGAGCGGAAGGTATGTCGTAAACTTACCTTTTTTATCGAACAGGCCGTCTCTTGGAGATTCAGTTTTATTGGCTAAAAGGCGTTTTTTCACAATGGAACGAAAACTGCAGTTAAATGAGTCGCTGCGGAAAAAATATGTAGATTTTATGCGGGAATATGCGGAAAAGGGACATATGTCACTCTGTGTCCGAAAACCAGAAGACTATGATTCCGGTTGTTATGTTATATGTCACCATGGAATCTTTAAAACAGATTCAGATAATATAAGAGTCGTATTTGATGCTAGCGGCAAGACTAGCAACGGAGTAAGTCTTAATGACTGTTTACATGCTGGACCAAAGTTACAACGTGATATTATGGAGATTATTTGCAGATTTAGACTACATAAATATGTCTTCACTACGGATATCCGAATGATGTTCCGACAGATTTTAATTACTCCGAAAGATCGTGCACATCAACTCATCTTCTGGAGGGAGTCTCCTGATATGCCCCTTCAACTGTATGAATTGAACACAGTAACGTATGGCATGAAGTCTAGTCCTTATCTCGCAATACGGACGTTGAGACAATTAGCGGATGACGAAGAAAGACGATTTCCGGCGGCGGCGCGTCTTCTCCGGTCTTCAGTTTATATGGACGATATTTTGGGCGGTGCGGATACCCTGGAGGAGACTCAAAGTCTTAAGCGAGACGTAGTGAATTTACTGAAGTCTGGCGGATTTGAACTCAGTAAATGGACGTCAAATACTACGGATTTGTTAAAAGACATTCCAGCGGAACATTTGGAGAAACCCCTAATTTTTAAAGACAACGCGGATGGGCCTAGCTTCATTAAGCTATTGGGAATCCAATGGGATCCAAGTAGTGACAGTTTTTCTTACCATACCAGATTTAATGATATGGAAATTTGTACAAAACGATCGATCTCATCGACATTAGCACGGACCTTTGACCCATTGGGTTGGATCTCCCTGTAATTTTTCAGGGAAAGATTTTAATGCAACGTCTATGGTTGTTAAGGTTGTCATGGGATGACAAACCTCCGGCAGACGTTGTTGCGGAATGGCAAGGTATTTTAAACAATCTGCCTATGATTGAAAATCTTAAAATGGAACGATTTGCATTGGGAAACTCTGGAACGTGTTCTATACATGGTTTTGCGGATGCGTCTGAACTTGGATATGGGGCTGCTGTTTATTTGAGAACAGTGGGAAAAGCGGTCAAGTTAAGATCGTTTTAATGATGGCTAAATCACGGGTTTCACCTGTAAAGTCAAGGCTTACTATTCCGAAACTGGAGCTTTGCGGAGCAGCTTTACTTGTGTGGCTTGTAAAGTACGTGGTGGATTCAATTAACGAGCATGTGAACATTGAGGATGTTGTGTACTGGTCTGATAGTACTATCGTACTTTCTTGGTTGCGGATATCACCCCATCTTTTACAGACATTTGAAGGAAACAGAGTCTCACAAATTATTAATTGCGGTTTGAATATAACGTGGCGACACGTACCCTCGGAACTGAACCCTGCCGACATAGCAAGTCGTGGTTGTCGAGCTTCGGAACTGCTCGAGCACAAATTGTGGTGGGGCCCTCCTGGCTTTAAGGTCATGCGGATACCTGGCCTTTGAGTGAAATTAATAAAACTGAGTATGACTTACCTGGTATTCGAAAGACGGTGGTGAAGGTTCACGCGGTGATGGTCAAGAGAGATCCTATTTTTTTGCGGTTTAGTTCTTTGAATATGCTGTTAGCGGTAGTGGCGTATTGTTATAGGTTTTTTAGTAATTGTAAAAATCCAAACCATAAGGTTACCGGAGTTTTGACAACAAAAGAACGACAATCGGTTTTACTGCGGTTGATAAAACTAGTCCAAACTACGGAGTTTGCGGATGATTTAAGTTGCCTCAAGCGGAGTAGTTTTTGTTCTTTACGTTTACGGCGGCTTATGCCTTTTATTTGCGAGGAGGGCCTTTTGCGTGTCGGAGGACGCTTAAATCATTCCGATTTGTCATATAATCGAAAGCATCCGGTTCTTTTGCCAAAGGATCATCCATTAACGAGTTTAATTATAGATCATCATCATAAAATTCACTGTCATGCGGGATCGACTGCTTTGCAAGCCATTTTACAGACTCAATTTTGGATCATTTCGGCACGACAAGCTATACGTACCAGAATTTTTAAATGTATTTCTTGCTTTCGGACAAAGGCTAAACCTACAGAACCATTAATGTCTGCCTTACCTACGGATAGAGTAGTTGCTACTGGAGTTTTTCATACCGTGCAAACGGATTTTGCCGGACCATTTATAATAAAATATTCTCGTTTACGTAACGCAAAACCATTGAAAGCTTATCTTTGTGTTTTCATTTGTTCTTCGACTAAGTGCGTTCATCTTGAATGTGTTACGGACCTCTCGACAGAGGGTTTTCTTGCGGCTCTAACGAGATTTACGTCTCGACGCGGACTACCTAGTGTGATTCGTTCGGATAACGGCACTAACTATGTAGGTACCAATCGACACTTAGATGAGGTACAAAGGTATTTAGCTTCTCGGGAAGTACAATCGCAACTTAGTAGTAGCGCAGGTAAACGCGATATTACCTGGCGTTTTAATGCACCTGCAGCGCCTCATTTTGGCGGTCTTTTTGAGGCAACTGTAAAGGCGGCGAAGACTTTATTGCGGAGAGTCATCGGTGACCAGATATTGACATTTGAGGAGCTAGTAACTATATTCACTAAAGTTGAAGCCGTCCTCAATTGTCGCCCGTTGTGTCCTCTGACGCAGGATCCCCAAGATTTGGAGGTGTTAACACCTGCGCATTTTTTAATCGGACGCTCGTTATTATCTGTACCGGAATATAATTTTGAAGACATCCCAAACTCACGGTTGAGTCGGTACAATCTAATTCAGGCTCTTTCACAGAGATTCTGGAGAAAATGGAGTGAGCGGTACCTCCATTCTCTTCAAATGCGGAATAAATGGACGTCTCCTATAGATCCTCCTAAGGTGGATGACTTGGTCCTAATTATAGAGGAAAATTTACCTCCTTTAAAGTGGAGATTGGGCAGGATTGTAGAATTGTTGCCGGGTAAAGATGGTGTAGTACGAGTGGTAAGGCTTATCACTTCAACAGGCACTATAACTCGTCCGGTTGTGAAGATTTGTAGACTCCCCACTAACTAATGGTTTCATATTTATTTATTTCATTATTTTTTAAAAAACTTATTATGTTAGTTTTCTTGCGGTATTTTTAGCGATTTCTGTACAGGAGCGGTCTATATAATTTTATAATTTTTGTTTTTCTGTATTTATTTACTTTCTGTTTTGATAAAGGCAATCAGCCTTTCTCGGGCGGGGGATGTGTAATTTTCCTGCAATTATTGTCATTTTTCGCGGCACTACACCTTCAACATACCACAACACACCTACACTATAAATGTATATATACGTCCCTATAAAGTCTTAATGTTGGGGATATGAAAAAATCCTGCCCTCTGGCGGACGCGACGCGCAACACTAGTGACACATTCGATCGCGGGAACGAACAGCGGTTACGGCGGTCATATTATTTTATTTATTCATTTATTTCAAGCAACTAGGCCCATATTATAAATACCTTATAGACTAACATACATATAATATAATAAAAACCAATACAACTATATTGTCTGTGTGATCACGGCACTGAAAACGGCAATCTGCCACGGTAGCGCCGATACACCACACCTTTCGGCCAGTAGTCCTCTTTCATGAAGGTGGGCAGCAAGTCGGTAGGGACCAGGGCCACAAACGCTTTGAAACTCGCGTTGTGACTCGACTTCAGCTGCGTCACCCTCAATGTCAGGTTACTCTTGGTACGGATATAATCGACAATGTCCTGCTCCTTAGTGGCGTAATGTAGACGGGACAGGTACATTGTCGTTGTCGGTGTAGCAGCACGCAGCAGAAAGTTGGGCCCAGTGAGTGCAGTGCCACAATGATTCCTATTGACCCTGTTTGTGCGCCTCTTCTTTTGTACCACGACGAAGCCATCATCGTCGCGGTTCCCAGTGGCAGCACACATAGGGTCAATGTTCAGTGCCGTTTTTGGCACACGCCGCTGTACTGAAGCAGCCGGTTTGCTAGCGACGACGGCGGCAAAATCTCGACGCTGTGGTTGCACCGAGGATTTTGTTAGCGCTGCTTCCACATGCAGCGGTATCGGCGCTCGCGAGCTGCGGGCGGGGAGCACGGGGGGCGCGGCGGCCGGCGGTGACACCACATCTGGTGACGTCAGTGTCGACGCCGAAACCGCTGACTCCGCCGTGAACGCATCGCGGCATGCCCCACGGCGCGTGTTGATGTTCGTAGCGTCAAGTGACCTAGTTTCTTTTCGCGAGTCGCGCAAACTGTCCACTTCCTTGCGCAACTCACTAATTATGTGCTCTGACGCATTGAAACATAGCGTCACATCTGCCAAACTCTTTTTTAAGGACACGATATCCTTGAGTAAGCTGGTAACATCGACGTGATCAAATGTGACTGGAGGAAGTTTGTTTAAATCCTTCGCCACAAAAGTCGGCACGTCGTCTGGATCGGTCTCCTTCAGCAGCGTTATAATGATATTAGAAACTTGGTGCAAATTGGCGGATTTTTGGTGTATTTGGGGTGAGTATAGGGACAATTTTATATTTTATTTATTATTTCGTGTACACAAAAGTGATTATATAATAGGCATCGGCAGAGGTATATTTGTAAACGCCCTGAACCAGCGACTTTAACGCGGGGTGAAGAAAAGGTGACGAAATTATTACCACCGAATACCACTAATATATATAAAATTAACAGTTGTTAATTTTCTCTTTATTAGTCTTCCTAATTTCTAAAATAGTTTATTCAAAAACGCTAAGAGACAGAAGTTTGGGGTCGTCGTTCATTAATAAACAAACATAAATTGATATGATATCTTTACTAAAACTTGATAATTACTTTATAAATTGAGACAGCATCGTCCTTTTTTATATTTTCAACTTAAATATCTAAAAAATTGATCATAATTAAACCCGAAATTTCAACAAAACTTTGCCATAATCATTTCTAATTTTCTCATAAATACAACGAAATTTTTGAACGAAAAAAAACATAATTTTTTTTTTTTTTTTTTTTGGGTAGCTGTGAAACGCATAAGACCAAATATTAACACCTCTCCAATGAAAATTAATTTAATTATATAATTTTGACATTTTTACTATAAGTATTGTATGAAATTATAACTTCAGTGTTTATTTACCTGTAGAACTATTTTCTCCTTTCTTTATTCACCAAACAATAATATATTTTACTAATTATGGAGTCACTACACAACAACAAAATTTTAATGTATTGCATATTAACGCACAAAGCATTTCAGCGCATTATCCGGATTTGCTTACATCTTTTGATGTAAAAAATGTGCATGCCGTACTCATATCGGAATCCTGGTTAAAACCGTGTCTTCCATCTAGTTTATATGTACTACCTGGTTTCACTCTTATCCGTAATGATCGAACAGTGGGAGGTGGTGGAGGAGTTGCCATTTATCTACGTTCCCATATTGCCTATAAAATTGTCAGTACGTCTACTATTTCCTACCCCTCTAATGAGCCAGAATTTCTTTTCATTGAAATTTACCTATCCCATTCTAATTTACTCCTAGGTGTTTTTTACAGTCCCAATTCATCAATTGACTATTTCGCTCTTCTTGAAAATACTCTAGAAAACCTTATTCCTTCTCACAATCACACTATTCTCATGGGTGATTTTAATACGTGTCTGTTAAAAAATGATCACCGCGCCCAACGCCTCAGATCTCTTGCCACATCCTGCAATCTCAATATTCTTCCTCTCCAGCCTACTCATTTTTTCCCTAACTCCAATCCTTCTCTGTTAGACCTTTTATTTGTATCCTCTCTTGATCATGTTGTCAGGCATGGTTAGTGCCCTGCTGACGCTTTTTCTTCGCAGAAGGTGAGTACTGCCAGCCACGACCCCTCGCTCCTAACCATTGCCCGAACTATATTCGGCAGCGAGAGGTCGGCCCCCACTTCCGCGACCAAGACGCGGCGCTCCTCTGCGAATGCAGGGCACTCCTCCAGAACATGCTGCGCCGTGTCTTGGTCGCATCCGCACTGGTGACACATTGTCGTCGGCTCCCTCCGTGCGACATTACACAGGTACCGCCCGAAACACCCATGTCCGGACAGCACCTGCGTAAGTCGATAGGTCAGCGGCCATCGTCGCCTGCCCATCCATTCTTTGAGAACTGGACGGACAGCCTCGACGGTCCTCAGGCCGGCCGTAGGGTTGGCCAGCCTTTCTTCCCATTTCTCCCTGAGGACACGTCGGAGGTGGGATCTCCGTTCCCCGAGTTCCACTCCGGAGGGCTCCCTTCCTTGGGCCCTCTCGTCCGCACGCCATTGGTACAATGACGCGCGGGATTCCGCTACGAGGTCCCAAGGTGGGGAGCCCGCTAGCAGACACGCCGCCTCTCTCGAGACGGTGCGGTACCCTCTGATGACCCTTATGGCCATTGCTCGCTGCGGACGCAGGAGCAAGGCCATATTTTCCCTGGACAGGGCCCCATGCCATATAGGGGCCCCGTATAGGGCCATCGATTGTACCACACCCATGTAGAGGCGGCGACAATTGTCCCCCGGCCCCCCGATGTTAGGCAGCAGCCAGCTTAAAGCGCCAGCCGCCGCCATAAGACGGGGAGCCAGGTTCTTGAAGTGGAACAGGAAACCCCAGCGACTATCGAGGTCAAGCCCTAAGTACCTAATATGTGGCTTGACCTCGAGCCTATGACCGCTGACCACGATATGGGCTCCTGGTGGCGGCGCTCGTCGGGGCCCATGGAAACAAAGGACCTCCGACTTCTCGAGCGCCACCTGGAGCCCTAACCTCCTGATTCTGCCGACGACAAGTGCCACACTGGCGGTAGCAAGACGGGCAGCCTCCCTGTAGTCCCGCCCGCGGGACGTTACCAGCGTGTCGTCCGCATAGCAGACTACGCTGGTCCCGTCGAGCAAGGCGCCCCGCAGATTCCAGTCATACCCGATGTTCCACAGGACCGGACCCAGAACCGATCCCTGTGGAACACCGCGCTGCATCTCCCTCTCAATCACGGTGCCGTTCCGCCCGATACACACTATTTTCCTGTCCTGGAAGTAGGCCCCGATCACCTCCCGAAGGTAGGGAGGCACTTGATGATATTTGAGTGCCTCCCTAACACAGTCGAAGGGGAGGGTGTTGAAGGCGTTTTTGATGTCGAGAGACACCGCCAACAACACCCCCCTTTGGGAGACCACCTCATCCGAGAGGGCACGAACCTGTGAGATCGCATCGATCGTGGATCGGCCCCCTCGGAACCCGAATTGGTTCGGGGATAGATCAGGGCCTACCTGAACCAAGTGCTTGACGAGGCGGCGTACTATTATCCTCTCGTATAGTTTGCCGACCTCGTCAAGAAGGACAATCGGGCGGAACGCCGAGGGAGATACGGAATCCGCAGGGCGCCCCTCCTTGCGGAGCAGGACTACTCTGCCCGTCTTCCACTTCTTGGGAAATCGCCCCGACTCCATGCACTCATTGAAGAGGCTTAGGAGTCGGTCCCCAAGGGCACCTAGGGCCAGATACAGAGCCCGGCCGGGAACACCATCAGGCCCCGGGGCAGTTTTCTTGCCCCGGAGCTTGTCCACGGCCGCGGAGAACTCTTCCGTCGTTATCGACGGAACCCCAACTTCCCCTTGGGTGCCGGCGCCGTCTTCTTCAATTTGACGGCTGCGCGGCACCAAAGGAGGGGGTGTGTACTCTGACTGCTCTGGGAACAGAGCTGTCAACACCCCCTCCAATTGTTGGGGCTGGAGACTCTCTGCCACGGGAGGCGCCCAAGGGCGAAGTTTGCCCCTTGCACTCCTATATGGGCGCCCCCATGGATCTCTGTTCAGAGTCTCCAGGAGTTCCTCCCTGGCTCTTTCTTTGGCCCTGCTGATGGCGAGCTGCAGCGCTTTCTTCTTCTCACTGTAGTGCGCCCGCAGCTCTGCTTCCATAGCGGCGTCACGGCCCCGCCTGAGTCGGCGGTGCCTGGTGTACTGGCGTCTAGCGGCCATGCTCTCCACTCGCAAGGCCGCTATCTCTTCAGACCACCAGTACACCTGACGCCTAGGAGGGGGCGGGCCCGGGGCATGGCCGCATCACAGATGCGGGTCATGGCACCCCCGAGCCAATTGGCCTCCTCCTCAACCTCCACAGGCCTGGATGGTATTTGAAACCAGGCCTGGACTATGGAAGCTTCCACCAGCACGTCTTTTTTAAGACGTCTCGATGCCCATTTGGGGAACGCCGAAGTGTCACTCTCTGAGCGGTCCGGGTGCGGAGCTCCGGACGAGGGGAGAATGTCGAACCTTATGTAGCGATGGTCCGACAGGCTCTCCACCTCGTCCATCACCTGCCAGCCCCGCACCCTGTGCGCGATGGCTGGACTGGCAAGGGAGATGTCCACTATAGACTCCCCTGCCATCGCACACAAGTGGCGACCGACCCCACGTTTAGGATTGAAAGGCCGGACGCCACCGCCCAGTCCTCTAGGACCTCGCCTCGTATCGTCGTGATGGGGGAGCCCCAAGCCGTAGACTTGGCATTGAGGTCCCCCATGACGAGCACGGAACGGGCTGGGTGCACACTGATTGCAATTCCCAGCCCGTCCAAGTATTCCTCGAACTCGGCGAGAGTCCTATTGGGAGAGAAGTACACTCCGACGACGGCGATTTCCCCCCAACTCACACCTACGTACCCTGGGCCCCTGAAGAGGGGCGAACAGGGTGGGGAGACAGAACTCCCCCCCCCTGTACGGTGGACGGCCACGAGGCCGTCGCAGTCGCCGAACCAATTGTCAGAGGTCGGAACTCTGTAAGGTTCGGCGACTACCACCACATCTGCCTGCCACTCCGCCGCGGTTTGCAGTAGGAGGTCCTGCGCCGCGGCGGTGTGGTTGATATTTGCCTGGAGGAGGTGAATGGCCATAATTATATGTCCATTTCCTCCTCCAGCTCAGCCCAACTATTATTAGTCGGGACGGCGGCGGTCGCAGGTGGTGCGGGTGCCGGCCCCCTCTTGGCTTTACTTTGCCTGTTTGGGGAGCAGTTTTTACTCCCCATCCAATGATCCGCCGGCTTGCCTGCCTCGCGGCAGATGACGCAACTCGGGGCTGCTGTGCAGCCGGCGGCTTTGTGGCCCGGTTTGCTGCATCTGAAGCAGAGGCCACTGCGGGCACCGCATCCTTACATGGCCCGTCTGAAGGCACTTAAAGCACCTCAGCGGCCTCTGCCTCAGGAGCTCGACCGGGGCCGACACCCAACCCACCTTGATGCGGGCTGCCGTAGTGATCTTCTTGACCACTAAGATCGGCGCCCGCACCCAACAAGTGCCCAGTCCCGAGGGGTTTAGGCGGATTTCCCCAGCCTTAACCTCCTCGGGCGCACACTCGCCGTCCCTGGCGACTGCGTGCGTGATGTCCTCGGGGGTGACCGAGTCATCCAGGCCCATTATCCGCATCTCTGCGGTTTTGGTGGGCCTGGAGACCTGTACGGGGTTTTCCCCGAGGACCTCCCTCAGCTTTTGGGCCAACGCGTCGGCCTTTCCCCCGCTCTGGGAGCCCGGGATCTCAAGGATCCTCGCCCCCGTTGCCGCCGACTTGAAGCGGAGCTCCTCTATACCTAGAGAAGCCAGGTCTATTTTCGCCTTGGCCTCTCTAAGTATGCCAGCATAAGTGGCTCCAGCTTTTTCCGCTTCTTGCGGGAGGGCGAGGATAACCGCTGCAGAGCGGGGCGCCTTCAGCTTAGAGGGGGACGGAGCCCTTTCCCCTTCTTTTGGGAGGACTGGGTCTGACTTTGTGACCCTGTCTTCCCTTTACCCTGGGTCCCGGAGGGGCCAGCCTTCGGCTCCGGGACGCTGGTGGTGCGTCCGTTCTTCCTAACGACGGTGGCCCATGATTCCACCGCCGCCGTGGACTGCTGAGAAGCAGTCGTAGCCTCCGTCTTTTTGGAGGAGGTAGGCTGTGACTGGCCTACTTTCCCCGCCTTCTTGCGTGACGCCGATTGCGGCGCCTTACTCCCACTGGGTTGGGGGCCTACCCCTGGCCTGATATTGCCCTGCTGGCGGTAGGCCTCTATCTTGTCCCCATTTTGTAGTGGGGGCCGGTACACATAGTCGGGGACTTGGTCATCCATGTCCACCGACACCGGTTGCGGGGCAACCATGCTCCTCACCTGCCGCATGAGTTCGGCGGTTTGCCGCTCCATCATGCGGCCTACATCCTCCATGATCTGGGACCTAAACGTGTCCCAGTCATTCCCTCTCCTGGGATATGCCCCGTGGTTGTACACCGGGGTCGGCCTCAAGTTCTCCGGAGGGGGAGCAGCGGCCACCCTGGCCCTGAGCTCCTCATTCTCCTTCCGGAGCTTGTGGAGTTCCGACTCAATGTCGGAGTTCCTCTTCAGAAGAGGCGTCACTGACCTCGGGATGAGGTCCGCATCCAGGGACTCAGCCAGGGAATTCAGCCTTGCCAGTGCACTCTTGATTTGCTTCTGGCAGGTCCCCTTCAAGTTCCCCGACTTCTTCACCACCCCTAGAACCTCCATGGTCTTCTCGACCATTGCCTCCCGCACTTTATGGAGGTGTACTTCTGCCGGGTCGGTGGGGTTCCTGGGGGCCTTTACCCCAGATCGGACAGTACGGGGCTCTGCTGCCTCATCATCCCCTTCAGAGTCGCTTCCTGGGACCCTGAGGAACTCCTTCCTCCGATCTTTGGTCAGAGCCGCTTTTGCGGCCCCTGGACCCACATATTGTCTCCCTTCCTTGGGAGTCTTCCCCTTCTTCACGGCGAGCCCCGCTATTTCCATATCAACGGAGCTCGTCGCGGAGTCTGCAGAGTCATACTCTGCCCCATTGTCAAGGCGCCTCTTTTTGCGCCCACCAACTGAGGTCTCTGACGGTCGCACAAACTCGATCAGGTTGCCCGTTACTGAGCTCGCGCGAGACCGAGTGCAAGGGCCACCCAACTCTTGAGCCAGGTTACCCACCTCCATACTCTCTTCTGCGCCCTTATGGGCGTTCATGTCGAGCCTGCGGCCCAAACACACTGCCAGTTCAGGCATAACCTCTTTTGTGGCTTTCTTAGCCACACTATCTGAATTTCCCCCCGAATCTACGGGGGGGCCCTCTATAGGAGGGGGGGAGGGTGCGGGGGCCATTACAGCCACCCGCAGACCACTTTGAGGGAGGTCAGTCAGCCAACAATTGTAAACACAACTTTGTTGTAATTTACAACTGCCAACTATGGCCAACTTCCCCAAAAGTGGAGCGACCTTTTCGAATTTGTGGGGGGAAGGGTCCTTCGGACTCCTCACCCTAACACCAATAACACAGAGCGGATATCTCCCAGCGATAGGGCCAGCAAAAATCCACTATCTTCTACCGCCCTATAAAAGACATCAACGCGACACGTCGTCAAGCAGACTGACGTCGTACAAGATTTTCGTGTCGCGCGGATTTTCTACTTACAGGGAAGGAGAAGGCGGTTTGTTTACTGGAACACCTATGAAACCACTAAAAGATCCCCACCGGAGCCTGCTATTCCAACCCCTAATATTCCCACATTTTCTTTCAATCAATTCTCCGATTGTGATGTTAAGAAAATATATTAGCTATTACGTCGAATGCCACAGGGAATGATAGCGTTAGTCGCAAAATGATCATCCCAGTCCTTGAATTCATCCTTCCTACTATTACTTTTATACTCAATAACTCCATATCCTCTAGTGTCTTCCCTTCCTTGTGGAAAGATGCTCACATAATCCCTATAGCAAAAAAGAGGACTCCTTCAACCTCCTCAGACTATCGCCCTATTTCTATACTCCCATTTCTGTCTAAAGTCTTAGAGCGCCTAGTGCACTGTCAATTATTTGAATTCCTTTCAGAAAATAACATTCTCAACCCTCTCCAATCTGGTTTCCGTCCGGGTCATAGCACGACTACCGCTCTCATCAAAATCACCGATGACATTCGACGTGGCATGGACAAGTCGCAGTTGACGGTGTTAACGTTACTGGACTTCAGTAATGCATTTAACACCGTTGACTTTGATGTCTTGCTCGGTTTACTACGTTCTCTTAACATATCTCCAACGGTAATTGAGTGGTTTCGTACTTACCTGTATGGGCGCCGGCAGCGAATCTGTATAGAGGATAAGTATTCGTCCTGGTGCTATACAACTGCTGGCGTGCCTCAGGGTGGCGTATTATCTCCTCTTCTTTTCGCATTGTTTATCAATTCAATCACTCTTAATCTTCGTTCATCCTACCACCTTTATGCAGATGATCTCCAAATTTACTCACTGACTGACTTAGATAATGTAACCGACGCCATTCGTGACATTAATATGGACCTGTCTCGTATACTTGACTGGAGTAAAGCTTATGGCCTTGCAATTAATCCAGCAAAAACGCAATGTGTCATAATTGGAAGCCCTTCTTACATCTCCAAATTAAAATCACTACATCTTCCTCCTGTTACCTTTAATAGCTTTAACATCGAATATAGTGTTTGCGTTAAAAACTTAGGTATATATTTTGATGAAACACTGTCTTGGTGTCATCAATTATCGCAGTTGAGCAGAAAAATATTTGCGTCAATTGGAGGTCTCAATCGGCTGCGAAATTTCCTGCCATTGGATACCAAGATTACGCTAGCACATACATTACTACTTCCTATCCTAGATTATGCCGATTCTTGCTATACTAATCTCACTGAAGAACAGCTAAACAAACTTGAGCGACTTCAAAATATGTGTATAAGGTTTATATTTGGTCTCCGCAAATATGACCATGTTTCTCAGTTTCGCAATAAACTCAAGTGGCTTCCTATCCGTTTTCGCAGGAATTGGCACATACTGTCCCTCCTTTATTCTATTCTTTTCAATCCTTCCACTCCTGATTATTTAAAACAGAGCTTCGTGTTTCATAACGATTCGCAAGACCGAGAGTTGCGCAGTACGAGACGTCTTTGTTTGGTAACCCCTCCTCATTCTACTAACTTCTTTTCCCAATCCTTCACTGTCCAGGCTATCCGTCTTTGGAACTCCTTGCCACTTTCTATCAGATCTGCCCAATCCCAGTCCATTTAAAAAAAACTACTAAAATCTCACTTTCTCTCAAAATAAAAATCTTTCTGTAATGTCCTGTTCTGTTAGACATGTAATTAATTATATATTCTATTTATGTATATGTATTCTATTTATATGTATATATATATATATATATGTATGTATATTAATGGTATTTGTATGTATGTATGTTTAGTATTCATATATTATCTAACTTTTTATAGTGCGCCACCTACCTTCCCCTTACTCAATGCTTCTATCTCCCAGGTTGTCTGTAAGAGATTGCTTTAAGCGATAAGGCCGCCTTTTGTTTGCATATCCTTCTTTTTTTTTTTTATTTCCTTTTTGTAACTATTTGTTTCTTTTATGCACAATAAAGAGTTTTATTATTATTATTATTATTATTAATAATAAAGTTAATATACTTGTACATTAGAAATATAAAAAAAAATATAAGTTTCTAAGAAAAAAATAAACAATAATAATAATTTAAAGTTGTATAAATACCGTTGCGCCAAAAGTAAATTCTCAGTGCTGCGCTAGCGCTCGTCGAGGTAGCATCTATGCTATGTTTTACGACACCGCTACGATAAGACATTCGTAAACATTTGTCAGTGAACATTAGTATAGTGCGACTAAACAATTTTGATAATTTAAGTAA